AAAGAATTAATATTCTAACATTTAGCACTTGTAAACATTAGAAGAATAACATTCTCAATCTCATATTTTTGAAATAAACTCTAATATAAAGTAAAACATAATGAGGTCACTGAAATAATCACTTCTCAATAATCATAACATCAAATTGTGAATATATCTATTATTTGTATTTTTTCATTTATTTGTTTGATTCATTCAATTCTTTTTTTTTATTTAGATTATTTTTTTTTTCTATCTTTCTTTATAAATTTATTATTGTATAAAACATAATGGTTTAAATCAAAAGAATAAAATAATTGTACAATGAAAATTATTATTAAATGAAATTAAAATGAATAAAACTAATGAATTACCACACAAAATCAAATGGATCATACACTTCTTTATAGTCAATGTATTTTGGTAAGTTGATTTGAAGAACTCCTTCTGTGTAATTGACAATTATATTCTTTATATCAACATTCTCTGGTATTCCATATATTCCTTTAAACCTTCCATACTTTCCTTGGCAATAATGATAAATAATTTGAACTTTTTCTTCTTCACTAATTCCTTTAAGTTGTTGATTGACCATCCTCATTATCATTTCCTTTTCTTCTTTACTTGGTATTTTCATTCCACTAATACTTAAATTTCCATTCTTTGTGATGTGCACATCAATATCTTCATCTCTCATTCCTTTGATTCTTGTGTACATCACATAATACCTTCCTCTATCAATTGCTTCAAATTTAACTTCCATTTCCATTTTCATCCAATTAATTTGTTCAAATATTTTGTCTGTTTCAGTCTTTTTATTGACTTCAATTTTGATATTATCTTCATCATCTTCTACTTTATGTGTTGGTCTAACGTATCTTTGATTATTTCCTTTTATTTTAACTGTTTTATTAACTTCTTTCTTTTCTTCTTTGATTTGGTCTAATTCCATTTTCGTGTTTTTCATATCATTAACCATTCCTTCAATCTCTTCAATCTCTTTTTCAATCTCAATTATCATCTCTTTCTTGACTTTCTTGTTCTCTTCATTTAATCCTTCGTATGTATCCATCTCATCCATAATAGCATTGTTCTTTTGATTTACACCAACTCCTATTTTGATTTCATTCTCACATTCTGTACTTGGATTCCTCATTTGAAGATAATAGTCCTTATTCTTTCCATGTTCCTCATATTTCCTCTTAAATTCTAAATAAGTTTCTCGTCTTTTTTCTTGTTCTTCTTTGATTTCCTTAATTCTTTTCTCAAATTTTTTGTCTATTTCTCTTTCTTCTTCTTGTTTGCAACTTTTTTTATTATCATTTTCTTGTGAAATTGACACTCCAACTGTTTCTTCTTCTTTCTTTTCTTCTTCTTTCTTTTCTTCTTCTTTCTTTTCTTCTTGTTTCACTCTATCTTTTTGAATCCCTTTGTAAAGATGTTCAATTAATTTATTCTCAATATTTTGAATTGTTGTTTCTATTTGCTCAATCACTTCTTGACCTATTTTTTCTTTAACCCCTTGATGTCTCATCATCTCTCCAATCATTTTCATTCGCTCTTCAATACTTCTCTTTTTCTTCTCAAACTCTTCCATTGTCTTTTCAATATCTATTCCAAATGGTTCATCAAATGTTGCTGCAACAAAATTACTAACAGTCTCTTTGTTTGGACTCTCAATTACTTCATAAACTACTTTCTTCTGTGGAATGACAACTTTGTCCTTTTGATGAACTTCCTCCATAATTGAAACTAACTTCATCAAATTCTCAGCTTTCTTCTCATCAAATTCACCTTCATACTCTCTTATAATCTCTTCTATAATTCTAACCCTGTCTTCCATTATCTTGTTTTTTAAGTTTTATCCTTCCTTTTTATCCTTTCATTGTGACGTAACACATTATCTCATCTATACTCTTTGACAACTAACTATTCATTTGTTTTTCTTTGACTCACCCCCACGTGTTCATTTGAGTTTTATCATATTTTTGATGAAAAGACATTGTTATAAATAA